TTTTAAAAAGTGAAAACCAAGATATTAAGTAGGTACTTTAAGAAAACTAAGAGTTTTAAATTTCATAAATACAAATATTATAATAGATTGATAAATATTTTTATGACAAATATTCATTAAAAGAACATTGAATCATATATTTATTAACTATTAAACAAATAAAATTAAATGTTGCCAGATTTTAAAAAGTTATTTACCTTTTTGCAATAATACGGTTGCGGACTCTTTTATTGACAATTACACCAAGAGCGTGTTTGGATACATTGAATACTCGTCCAGTTTTACCATGGTAGACTTTGTAAGGCATACCCTTTTGAACAGCTCCATTTCCCTTAGAAGTAATGGTTTCATTAACATAGAATATAATGATTTCAACAATAATAAATATTTATTATAATTCAATAAATGTCTTACCTTAATATCAACTCGATCACCAACTTTATACACTTTCATGTATGTTGACAAAGGAATGACTCCATGTCTACGGAATCTTCTGGAAAATAAGTCCCTAGTACCATGCCTATAACCCTTTGAGTTAGTCATATTCAATTTTTATCTGAAAAAAAAAACAAAATATATAGAGGAACCTAAACAATTCAATAAAAGATTTTATAAAATAAAATATTTCATTATCAACTCAAAACATTATTTTGAATTTTATATAATAAAGAACAATTACTCAACTAAAAAAAAAATGCCCAATACCATATAATCTATTTAATTTAATAAAATGCCTAGATCAAACCTTCAATGTGACACTCTATCTGAGAGAGTATTATGACTTCAATGCACTATGTACATAGATAAATGTGATAAAATATAAAACACTTCCAAGTAAGAATGATTAAAATTAAATTTAATGATAGTGAAATGTAAATTAAACAAACTCCAAGTAAGACGTTTCAATTGTGAAACATATTTCACTTTTCATGATTGATTGCTGAACATTAAAGTCAACTTGAGCGCATTGGGGATTTTGACGTTAAACCGCGATGAAATAATGATGCATACCAATAGATACTATCTTAATTCCATCGCCAACGCAGCATTGTCAACGTTTGGTTTAATTAACCTGATCATGCTGATACCAATATCCAGAAATTCGATTTAGGGACCAAAATTTCACAGCGGTATAATAACGCCCATTAGCAAACGATTTAAATTGTTTGGATTGATTAATGGAAAGAGAAAAAACAGAAGATCAAAAACGTAATGCAGATCGAATCTCTTATGTCTATTATGATTTGGATACGAAGTACAAGAAATCATCAAAGACCCGAAAAATGACTTAACACGAAAACGACACAATCCTTTAGAGAATAACAGTATTTATTACATTAGAATATTATGAAAAAGTTGTACTTACTTAAGGTTAAGATTTAAAAAAAAAGTCTTAAGCGACACCACACTTTGAAAACGAGTATGTGAAAGTAAAAGAACCGAACAGTGGTAAAATTATTTTAGGTTATGTTATGTTTTTCATTCGTCTGTAAAACCACGATACAAAATAATATTATTTAATCATGGAAAAGAAAATAATATGTGATTATATTTCTACGGCAAAAAGCAAAACCACTATATAATTTAGCCATGGTCTATATAGTTCATGATAATATAGTTCCTGGTGTAAATAATACTAAATAGTAAATATTCCATACCCGTTGGCCGACACCTAGACCAGAGGCTAGTCCCTAGTCAGCACTGTCAGCAGTCAGCCTGTTAATGAGCGTGTTATGCTTAAAGCATTAGATTATTATACGAATCTGGTCCGTGCCCTGTGGTCGTATCCGACCTTATCATTGATTTTATACATTTGGGGCAAAAATTAAAAATAAATTACTTTTTTTTTTTTTAAATCAAGTCAAAATAAATTTTAACATCTCAATTGTTGTATAACACTTATTATAAGTAATTGTCAACGCAATATATCTGACATTAGTAGCTGGTTGACAAATAAATAGAATTCACCAATATTATCCATTAGTTCAGTACATGGACTTCGATTTAACATCCTCCATTTCTATTAACTGATTTTACTACAAAAGTTACCCCCTTGGCTATTATTATTATAACATAAGGTCAAAGTGACCATTAAATTGAGACCCTATTAAATATTAACCCAATTCCATACAAGCTTTACCTAGATACCTAACTTAGGTTAGATTAGAATTAATATCAAATAAATAAAAAAATTTAAGTAATATAATTATTAAACATTTTTATAAACGCATATATCTACTAACCACCTCATTGATGATAGTAGTTGATTATCTAAAAAAAAATATTTTATAAAGGTTCATTACAGTTAATAACTGTTGTATTCTTGATAATTTTGTTTTGTCTTGGACTATATTGTTCTGTGATATTACTAATTGCTATCATGATTTAAGCCATGATTACTATTAAATCACTATTCTAATATTTGTCAATTGTCATAAGCTCATGTTCTCACTCGGCTTACTCCTCATAAGTCATGACTACAGTCTACAGTCTATTATCATTAATATTTAATAATATTAATATATTTATTACTATTACTATTATCAATGTTTGTCGTTCGATACTCGGTATCGGTAAGGACTCCTCTACTTCTCTTCTCTCGATGACCGATCATCATGTGACTCAAATAGTCAAATCAGTCTATCAGCTATCTGTACAACGAAGATAATAGAAACAATATTAGAATTTAATTTCAATTTATATTAGTTATTATTATTATTATTTGGTTAATAATTAATATACAATATATTACATATCAGTTAATACTTAAACGTCTCTAACCGTCTTTGAATGAAAAATTTTAATTACTTTTCAGTTTTCCCCAACCAGGTTTAAGTAATTCATTTAATTATGTTTAAATTAGAAATCAAATGATATTATAATAAAAATTGATAGCGTTTAATATAAATCAAAATGGATAGTTTTCATTTGCCCTGCAACAAATTAAAAGATGAATATCAAAAGTGTTTCAGTTCTTGGTTCAGTGAATGTTATATGAAAGGCGATTATGACGACAAAAAGTGTGCCAAAAAATTTGATGAGTATCAAAAGTGCCTTAAAGAAGGTATGCAAATACACTCTTTGGATATGGAAGATGTATTAAAACCTTACCTGGGAACAGAACGCATGAAGAAGTAAAATTATAGTAACTTTTTTTTATAGTATGTAACTAATTAAATATTAAATTTAGTAATTACCTATTTTTTAGTAGCTTAGAATAAGCATTTAATATCAATTATTCACAAGTTAACAAGTTCTGTTAACTTTTAGTTGTTGAGTAATTTTATACAATTAGAGTATTCGTTTTATGTTTGTATTATCTCAAGGTGTCCGACTTTTTTTCAATTTACTTTTACAATTAACAGATACATAATATAATAAACTTGGTTATTTAATTTTATTCTTTATATTTATACTGATTAAAATACAACAAAATATATTCTGAGTGGTGGCAAAAGTGTTATTATTAAGTTTATTTTAATTCTGTTTGATATTATATTTTTAACTGCCTAGTTAATTTCATTACTAACCCCATTAAAAATTAATTTATATTTTGGTTATTTCAAAAAGTGAAAATTACCTACTAGTTTATCAAAAACCTGTTAAAAATTAATTTGCATCACTATTAAGTTTTTTTTAAAGAATTAAAGAAATGATTCACTATTATTAGTTATTAGACATTTTGGTAAGTTTTTGTTAGTGATTCCATTGTAGAATCTGGATAGGTTACCGTTTTTATTTATTTTTTATTTCTATAGATAATATAAAAATATAATTTTTACCATGCTCATTCCAGCATATTAATATATTTTCAATATTAATATTTTTAACTTATTCTACTAAACGTACTCATAAAAATCGAAAGAGTGAAACTAGATTTTTGTATTTAATTATTGAATTATGAATTATGACAATTATTATGTACCTACATAATACAAATATGGATATTTTAATATTATACAATTTGTTATTATTTTTGCATTTTTCATCACAGAGCAAAAATGTTGGTTGTACAACTGCATTATGTTATATCACATAACAATTCACAATAACGTTATATTTTATAGAAAATACCAACGATTCCTGATCACAATAATTAAAAAAAAAAGAACCCACACACAATATCATAAATTTAAGTTCAACAAAGCCAATCTTTTGTTGTTATTTTTAATGTTAGATCAAATGATTGATTATAAAAATTGAAGTCAAGAAAGTTTTCTATGGCACTTCATTAGCTTATATTCATATACTAATTTTTATGTGAATTACAACTATATCAAATATTATAATTTTAAAATGTCTAAAACTTGCTACATTGATATAAGTCAGAAGGAAGGTAAATAAAATAACACACTGGTATTTTCTTAAAGAATCAATGCTTTTCAAAATAATGACTGTATAAGATGAAATGTATTGTCATAAATTATAAACCATATTATATATGATTTTATTTAAATTAAATTAAAGAATACCATTAAAACTTAGCTTTGTTTAAGTCATGTGTCATTCACATTATCTATTATTAAACTGTTTGCTTGTAAAAATGAGGGTGTTTCTTTTATGAATAATGTAGGTCCAGCATTTATTAATTCCGATATAAGTACAGGCTATTCAACCATATTTAGGATACCAAAAACACGACAACACTAGTTTATAATAAAATATTTATAATATGAATCAATATGAGAAAAAACTTGAATTCATAAATGGTCGTTGGTGGTATATTGTGAACATTTTTATATTGTAGTTTGGCGCAATACAAGAGATCAACCTTTACCACAGACAATAACAGAACACAGTACCCCATCTCACCTTAAACTAAAGTCGTTGGAGGGTCCTACTAAAGTAGTACCTAATTGGTATACCTAGTCAACTAAAAAAATATTAAAATTGATATTATAAATCTAATTGTAGATTTATATTTAATTCTATTGTAAGATATAAATTAATCATTCATTACCATTATTTATATTATAAATTTTGACTTTGTTAAACACTTAAAATACTATTTTTTTTTATATTGAATTTACTTGATTTTCCAATAACAGTATATAATTATTTTAAATCCAATTAAGATTCAATAATCTATAGATTATAACAATGCATTATACTTTGTAATTTTAATAATTAAAAATAACTAATAAATTATGATACATATTGGGGTACTACTAAATTTAAAAAATTTAAGATTATGTAAGTGCCTTAAATGTAAATTTCTTTAATTACTACCTACTTAGATCAACAGGCTCAATCCATTTTTAATAAACACAGTCATCCACATAATCTTTCAGTTAATCTTTATTATAATATGTTTCAATTTAAATTTTTTCCAACAATTATATTATTTATGTGATTAAGTAACCGAACTTATTTTTTTAAATATTATGACTATTGTTCTATTATTGTCTTATTATCATTGTGTTAAATACCTAGTCATATATTTCCTTAATTATATTTGACTATTGATGTAGATAAGTTATATCAATTGGCTAAAAATGTCTTAATAGATAAAAAAAATAATAAAAAACAATGTACATATTAAAAGTTATAACATTAGTGTTAAAAAAAATATTTAACTTTTTTATATGGTGGTCATAAGAATAGATATTTTATTATTACCTACAACAAAACTTGTTTAACATTTCTTATATATATATATATGTTATATGTATAAGTATAACTGATTGCAACTTGTAAATTGTAACACCTACTTGTTGGAAAACTACCTACTTAATATGCTAAAGGCATAATTTTATTATTTTGAGACTTACAAGTATCAATTATTAATAGATAGGTATAGCTATTTGTATATTATGTTATACCTAATGGCGGTCTGATAAAGTTTGGTTAATCTCTTGATCTTTAATTAATGAATTAAAAACCAAATAGAAATTTCCTCTTGTCATATCAATATTAAATAGTAGGTATTAAGTTTTTTAAAATCTATCAGTTTAACATATTTTCTTCTTTTGAACAATACTTCTACATAAGGTTAATAAGGTTAATAACCTGATTAATATAATAATAACATTTTAACATATTATAAGTTATAATTATTCTCCAGTACACGCAGAATGTATCTAGTAAGGTACAATATAAATCTATAGACATCAAAATGAGTGGCTACAAACAGGTCACCAATGATAAGTTATAGATTTCTACTATGTGCCATTGTATTTTAGTGGACGGCTTGTATCTGTAAATTAATTTCTAAAATAATAAACATAATATAAGTACCTATTGTAGTATTTTACATTCATAAATAATTAAACTTTTTTTTAAGATTAATTATCTTTACAATTTTTATTACAATAAATTATCTATGTTACAAAATATATTACATGTACCTAATTTAAAATTATATTGCCTTATTGTCTTAAGCATTCTTAGATGTTCCACCACTATGGTAAACAAATCGGACGATTTTCCATAATTAACCATTTATTAGTAATCAGTAGTCATCATAATCTTATAACAGTAAAATAAAACCAAACTCTATGAATTTTGGAATAATTCTGTCCAAATAAATTCAAATGAATTATTCCAAGTCCAAAAGCACTAAGCGTCTAAGCAAGATGCACGTGAGTCATGTTGACATAACTATATTATAATTTGTTCTATAGAACAAAATATATAATGCAAATCAAGAGCATAAAAACAAGGAAAATGAAAAATATCAAGTACATCAAATAGTATAATAATATACTACCATTATATTTAACAATAGATTGCTATGTCTATTTCATACTTTTAAATTTTGGCGGAATCTTGAATTTTGCCAAAGCGAAAATAAATTATTAAATTTATAACCTCAATTAAGATTAACTTGCAGCGCTCGTGAATAACAATTGAACTAAATCTCCTCAGTAGGTGGACAACTGATAAGGACCTTATCTTTAAAAACTGTGATATAAGATATAATATCTTTATGTTTCACCAATATAAAATATAAGTCCACGAGTTTTTAGTGTTTTAGCTCTCAATATTCTCAATACATTTTTCTAACTCCAATCATAATATCTATAGTTTTTAAATCAAAAATTAATAATAAATATTTTGAATACTCATTGTCAAACAATGTCTAGCAGTCGTTTTACTCCAAGAGGTTTTCCTAGAGTTCCGCTTCAAAATGGTATTGGACGTTATATATGTCAATTGAAAAGAGTCACATTAAGATTTTGTAAGAGCAGTGGATCTAGTCGGGGAATTCGTGATTTCATCGAAACTGATCTAATACATTATGCACAAGACCACCCAGGTACAGCTGTGTACTTGAAGCCTCGTCGTCACAAGTCTCCTTCATTTGTTGCCGAATATTTAAATGGTGAACGTGAAGTAGTCAGCTGTCACAATTTTACTGCACAAGAAATGATCAAGTGGTTAAATTTATACACCACTCGATCTGGTATACCGCTTATGAGGTATGTCAAAATGTGGCATACAGAGTGCCCTTCTATTCAAGGAGTCTGGAGTCCATTTACAAATAAGGACCCAGCATTAAACATTACACAGTTTCCATCTAAGATTTTATCAAGGCCTGTATGGGAAGAAAAGTCAGCAACAGAAGAATTATTAGAAATGATAAATAAACAAAAAATCAGTGATGAAAATAATGATGATACACAGAAGGTTCAAACAGCTCATATGTAAATTAGAAGTTTTCAAAAAATTGTTAGTTACTTGATTTAATAAAATACTGTCCTTCATTTTATATGATTTGATTTTTTTTTTTAGTATTTGTACAATTAAGTATATACCTATTTTTAATAATTCATATTTGTATAAATGAAATCAATAAAATAGACATATTATAATAACCATTTAGTTTTACATTTTCGTTTCATTTGGTACAACATCCACTATGACTCGTTATTAAATGGCATTAAAATAGTGACCAATATAATTATTTTTGCTTTTAATTTTTAATATGTAAGCACATAATTTTTAATTTAAATTATTTAAATTATTAGGAATTTTTATTTTATATTTTACTCTCTCAAAGTACTTACTAGATCCATTTTACTACTAGTAATCACCTTAAAAATCAAATTAGTTTCACTACTTTAAAAGATGAAACAAAAAACAAACATTATTGTAAGTTTAATACATTTTATATTACTATGATTTTTCTAGACTACAGAATCACAGGAATAATGTGGATACTTCATGATTGAAAGACTATTTTGTGCATTTGATAGTTTAAATTTTAAACCTTTTTCAATTCGCGTACCATATACTTCACGGTTTTTTTTTTGTTCATTTCGATCAAATGTACAATAAATATAATTATTATCTATATTCTATAATTCTATATTTTATCTATTGTACATTTTATCTGATATAATATTATCTTTATTCACTTATCGAACTTATGACTGTATAATCGTATGTATTTAAACTTTAAAGTAGGTACTAAGTATTTCTACGCTAATTGCTAAAACACAGATTTAATACATTTTCATAAGACCAATCCTAATGATTTTCCAAAAATAAAAGAATTATCAACGCGTATATTTAAATTATTTGATTTTACTTATATTTGCAAACAAATGTTTTCGCACATGAATTACGCAAAATGTTCAGAAAGATCTCGTTTGAGTGATGAACACTTACACTTCTTATTAAGAATTGGATAACTTTTAATAACTGTTGATATTTGAAAATTGAAATTTTCAAAAATGTTAATTCTTTTTGAGCTATTTATAATTTATATGCACGACAAAATTTTAATTTTTTTTTTTTTTTTTAAGTAATAGTTGAAAAAAAAATTATTCACAAATTCAAAATTCTTGAAAATTTAATAAAAGATTTCATATAATAATTGTTCTTATATCTGTATAACAATATTAAAAATATAAAGGCATACATTTTTGTGTAAGCTCAACATCTTATTATTTACATCAAAGCGGTACCCACTTGATCACTTTTTGTACTTTCGTTTAAGTATCGATTTTAGTTGGTTATTTACTATGTACTCCTGTGTTACTCAAAGCTGCACGCCGATCACCGACATGGCGATATGGTCGGATTTATACGGTAGACAGTAGAATTATAATATACGGATCACGAGGTATTACTTATTAGTGTTATTACTTATTACACATACTACATAGATAGGTATAATATTATGCGTTTTGCTGCTATTATAACTGCATAGCATAATATATAGTCGCGTACAGGTCTTCTCAGAGTTCACGGGAACCGGGTCTCGTATTCGTCCCTCGCGTTTACCCGCAAATAACTGCTCTGCTGCACTATTGTAATAATAATATAATAAATAATAATATTATGCTTGTCGTGTGTCCTGAAATCGATTATCCACGAGGATACTGCACGCACGTGTGACCCGGAGGCTGTCGTTGCAACGGAACGCGTGATCTCTTTGTCGGGGTGGTTGCCCGATGATGATAATAATGATACACGACGTTCTGTCGGCAAGGATAACAGTCAACTATACACGGCTTACTCTCCGAACGTACGGACTATGGAATGATCCATTATTATTTATTAACATATTATATAACACTTATTTTTTCGGAAAATATTTCTTTTACATACCTATATAATATTAAGTCGTTTTAAAAGAACATTTTTATATTTTATTGTATTTTATCGTTGTCAATTTTTAAGTTTTTAAATCTTGGACGACAACGTTAATTTTTAATTACATATTATATTCTGAAGCATAATATTATTCGAAGTATTTCGATCTGTAAACATTGAATTTCGGAAAAGTAATTGATTAGTTGTAATAATATAACATTTAAAGTTTAGGTGACAAAAAGAACAAACATTTAGCGCCTTAGCGGGATACCGCTGTACTCCACGTCACTCATTTAAACTACACTCGTCTAAAATTTGATTTTTATACATTGAAGTAGGTATACTCTAAAAAATTATTCAGCTTTGGAATAAGGAATTTAAAAAATGTATGTTGTAATTAAAACAAATATTTATACGACTAATAAAAATAATAACAATAAAATATAGTTAAGATATAATTTTTTTTTTTTTTTAATATTTTTTTTGAAGACTTAAAATTATTTAAAAAAATATTTCCAAAAACGAAATGGTTATTTAAAACGTAATAAGTACCGTCATATGGATCACTCAGTATATAAAATATGTATTACCATTGTATTTTAAAATGGTACATCTCAATGCTATAGTCTGGGGGTACAGGGAATACGTGTATCTAACTCCATCCCGAAATCTTTTTTTTTTTTGTTGGCCATAATTTATTGCATGAACATTTTTAAAAGTTATATCATTGATATACATATAAATATAATTCAAGGTAAATCTATGATTACGATAATTATTTGTAATTTGTCTTTTATTTGTAATTTGTATTGATATGGAAATGGAAACATTAGTTGATGTTTTTACTTAAAGAAAAGAAAGACATCTGAATTTTAAATTATACGAGTACCTCGTACCTAGATAGGTATAGGTATCTAATATAATTTAAAAAAAATTACATTTGTGTAAATGATTCATTTGTAAATTAAGTTATTATTTTTTTTTTATCGGTTGATTAATGTTACTAATATATTTTATCAAAAAATAGTTTCTTATTTTTAACATTTCCTTTTTTTTAAACTATTTGTTTAATTATGTTATAAAATAAAAAAAATATTTTGTTAGGTTTTTAATCATTTAAATTTGTTTAGCTATTAAATTGTAATTTTCTTTATTTTTTACTATTCTATTTATGTAAGGACATCTAGGTCATTTATAGCTTGTTTTGTATTATATACAGTTTAATACGCTTAATACGATGCCGTATATAATGATATTCCGGGTAAAACGATTCCAAGCAATGTAATTGGTTGGTTTTATATCTTATATGTAGTACTTTTAGTCGTATATAACGATATCGGTTACAACGATAATCCGAATATAGCGATGTAATTTTGAAATGGAAATGGGTTTTTATATATATTCGCCAATAGAAATTAATAACACACGTACAAGTAGTAAATTTGATTTCGTTCGAAGCAATAATATTCTTAATCTTATCTCATATCTGTAACAGATAATGTGTCTTATACGACACGCAGGACCGGATTGGCAGGATATCGGTCTACTATTCTCAGTAAGCAGGCGGCCCATAGGCCCACAGATATAATATAAAAAAAAGACCGTTTTGTTTTTGCTCATTGTTCAAAAAAACTCAAGTATCTTATTAAAAAATTGAGGCGTGCGCCCCACTGTGCTATAGAACAGTAGCACAGTGGCCCAGTTCGGGCTTGACGACACGTATATTGTATACGGCATACTTATTTAAAGTTATATTGATCGAATTCGTACTTTTGTTTCAGTAAACAGCGATATAAATATGCCAGAAGTATCAATAGCATTAAAAATATTTCTAATTTTGTTAAAAATCTTATTCAAATTATAAACAAAGCACTATAACAGTTTATTTTTCAAACAAATAGTACCTAAACACATATATACTATGCATGTGTAATCTACTTTTATTAAAAATTATAAATACCTTCAATGTTAAAATATGTAATCTTAAATAAAATAATACAATAAAAAATGTATTTAATAAATCAATTTTTCAAAAAAATCAAGTTACTTTTTATTATCCGAATATAATGATGTTCGGTTATAACGATCAGATTCTCTAGGTCCCTTGAAGATCGTTCTAAGCGAATTTGATTGTATTTGATAAAAGTTAAAAACTATGATATTGTATTCTTGACTATTGTTAGTAAATAGTAATAATAATTGAACGAAAAATAAAGTGTTGTGTTGAAAACACATAATGATAAAATTATATGAATTAAAACATTAATCTATTGCTTACTTACAGTAGTCTAATCACATTAATAAATAGTCATATTAAATGTGTGGGTACCATAGTTTTTAACATAAGTAATTACAGTTATAAAAGAAGTAGGTGTGTATTTGTAGTTAACACTTTATCGACAAAGGGGTCATAAAGTAATAGGTGAAAAGTTGGTATTCTATCATTGAAAATTTTAAGATAACAATTTATTAAATGTTCAAAAAAAAAAAATGTTTTGATTACAGAACTGGTACACAAAAATTATCAGCCAAAATCTAAACGCATTGCAGGCTTATAATATTATAGTATACATATTACATACTGTATAATACAAAAATCATAATAAATAATATTGAAGGATTTAACACTTCTTATACCGAACTCACATTCATTTATTTATATCATGTCATGTTTACAAGATTTATACACATATTGTTTTATATATTATCTACCTATGTAAAATATATATATATTTATATATTTATTTTCAAACACCATACATACGTAGTACGCGTATATACCAATTGCTAGTTTTACTATAGTCTATATTTCCATAACAACTGATTAAAATATTGTTTTGAGCAGGAACTGCGTGTATCCAATATCTATACCTAAACGAAATTATTAATATGACATTTTAAACGTCTTGATCGTAGCAAAGCACGACTAGCTATGTGACTGCATGTGACTAATATGATATACACGGCGTCACGGCCGTTTACTGATTTTACTACACTTTTAATGTGGATATAAAAATAATATACATTGAAAGTTTTACCTATACATTTCTTAGCCGTCTCATTCGTATTTCATAATAAACTGTTATATTAATAAGCTGTTATTCAGTCGCCGCATAAATTGCGTGGTAAAAATCAAAAACAATATACGTTTCTAATATACTCATAAAA